GTTACCATAGTTTGATGAGTTTGCCACTCAGTAAGTGGTCATCATAATCCTAAAAATAATCATGATTGAAAGATATCAATATTTTCAAAAAGGAGATCTATTAACAGAAATGCATTAACAGTTTCACTTTAAAAAATGCATAATTAAGTATAATACGAATAATTGAAATGCATATAACATTTTAACGGCAATGCATAATTCAAAATTACCCTACTGGCGTCCCAAGTAGCTCACCTGTATACCCCATCAGCGTCCTGATGGGTCCACTTAATCCCTATCGGTATCCCAGATAGGTCCACTTATACCTCACCGGCGTACTGGATGAGTTCACTTAATCCTTACCGGCGTACCGGATAGGTCCACTTATACCTCACCGGCAAACCGGATGAGTCCACTTGTATACTTAAAAGTATTTCTAAATCTCTTTAAACATTCGAAAGCAGCAATATCATGTACTCAACATATCACTGAAATTATTAATATGAATGTCACTGAAACCATTCATAACAATCACTTTCAATAACATTTCAAAAATAACTAGTCAAATATTTTCGGCTCAAATGAAGAAAGGTAGCAGTTCGTAAAGACATTCTAGCATAATTGCCAATCTAATATGTATAGAAAAACTCTTATAGAAATTCAAGAATACAGAATTATCACAATTTATGGGATGTCAATTCGCAAATAAACACTTCACAGACAATGCTATAATCAAATGCAAAAATATCAGTTTTCAAATAATAAGGTAGTCATTTGCACATGAAATTTACACTGTCTAAATATTCAAAAATAGTAGAAAGAAATATCACAATTTTAGTAAAAGCAGAAATATTACATTTATTTCTAATAATTTTACAACATTTAAAATTTTCTAACAATAGACAAGAAAAATAAATAAATTTATTTCTAAGAATTTACAGCATTTAAAATTTCTAACATAGATAAAATATCACAATTTTATTAAAAAGATTATTTTTCAAAATAATGAGGTCGCTTGCGCATAAAATTTATCGCGCCTAAAATTCATGATAATAAGCAGAAGTAATTATTTCATTTTATTTTTAAAAAGAACGGATTATTTTTTAAGATAATGAAGTCACTTACCTAAAATATTTGAGAGGGAGCTTCCGATAAAAATTCGGCTAAAGAGAGAAAGAGCTCACTGCGTTTCGACTAGAGAGATAAAGATCTCAAGAATTTTCTAGGGTGGGAGTCCTCGCATCTCCTATTTAAATTCTTAAAACACATTATTATTTTATTTTATTAAGTTACACTTTATACATGAGGTGTAACAATTATATTACACCTGAACGTTTAAAGCCCGCGTCCACTAAAGGACGTGGCAGGGCAGCAAAAAAACTTAAATCAAAAGCTTTTGAAAGTAGTGATGGCCCCTAAGGACCATTATATGGACCATCACTTATTAAAAGTTTTTTTTTTTGAAATTTTAGGATTATTACATACATGGTTATAGAATTCGGGAGCTTCCAGTAAATAAAAGTTTAAAATATCAATACAATAGGATATTTTAGCTAAAGCATTGGGTCATGATAAGCGCCACTTGTACATGTGCAAGCTAAGATGTGCTAATATTGACTCTGCATACCGAAGGGGAGTGTGAAGAATCTAGAAATTCTGTTTAATGTACATTACTCTGTCGTCGTTACATCATCATCATCTAAGCCTTATCCCAACTATTTTGGCGTTGACTACACAAATCATGTTCTAACATTTTGCTCTATCAAGGGCCGTACCCTCAATTAGACCATAGGTCACTATATCTCTTCTCACTACCTCCATCCATTTCCTGTCGGGCCTTCCTCTTGCCCTTTTAGAGCCTTCCATTTGAACCAAGTTGCCCTCTTAATCGGTTATATTCTAGATCGACACTGCACTCTTTGTCTTCTTTACATAAATTGTTAAGTATGTTACGAAGTCTTTCTTTCTTCTTCATAAGAGTAATTCCTTCATTTATGTGCTTATTATTTGTTTGCTGTGCAGATGGCTTTGTGAGCTCATTTTATTGCTTATTTGAAAAGATATGGTGACTTTTGATCTTACTGAGGGTATGACTTTTGATAGAGAAGAATGGAGGAACAAGATTCATGTAGCCCAACCCCATATAATTAGGATAAGGCTTGGATGATGATGATGATATCTTAGTTCACCTACTTGCATGATAACAACTTTTTGAGTACTTCCTTCATATTTTTGCATGTAGTCTGTGTTGTCTTCATGTTCTATATGTATGAACCACGAGGATTGATGGCCAACATGGTGGGTTGTGTTGTGGATTTTTTGTTCATTTCCGTCTATCCACACTGCCTTAGTTCTACAAAATTACTTTTGGTCATATACCCATATACCAAGCATGGAAATTGTGCCCTATAGTATTTTTCTGATTGTATACTGTCCCTTATAATGTTAAAATATCTTTTCCATGGTGTGTTGATCTCATTACATCTTCTGTCACCAAGCTAAATTTTGTATCCTTGGTTCATGATGTTCTATACAGTTGAGTCTGAATCTGCAGAATTCATTTCCAATAATTCAAATTGTTTGACAAATAAGCTTTAGTTAGCTTTTTGGGTTGGAGTTTTGTTTGTTCTTGGACTTGCATGGTAGATGTAATCACTGCATTTGTATTTTAGGCAGGGCTGTTTGGAAATATGCAAGGTCTGTATGAGACTGTAAAGAAGGCTCAGATGGTTGTCCAAGTTGAGGCAGTGCGTGTTCAAAAAGAACTTGCTGCGTATGTTCCAGAACCTATGTTGTTTACTTTTCCCCAAACGTAGATTTTTATAGGTTTATATTGCAATAACGTTGACTTCTGGAGTTTTTTGTGGCATGCAGAGCTGAGTTTGATGGTTATTGTGAAGGTGAACTGATCAAGGTATGCTTCCCTATAATGTCATAATACTCCTTACCTATTGTGTGGCAGATATTCAACTATCTTCATGTCCATTCAGATATGTAGAGTTAATTAATTGAAATGGACTCCACGTTGTATACATACATTGCTAGGCATTATTCTAGTCTATGGATGCTGGTGCTACAAATACAAATTTATCAATGGCCAACAACTGTTTATTTCTCTCCCATTTTATGAGTTACATATCAGGTAATATACGAAGGGGAAACTTTCTTGATATCCATTTAGTAGTTGTAGAATCTTGTATTTATAGCAGTAACGGTAGTTCTTTTGAGTTTAGAATTAGACACTGAATACAGGAATTTGGGGCTTGAAGTGGTGGAAGTGTCGCAATTGGGTACTCAGATGAAGTCTGGAGTTCTATCATCTACATCGATTTGTTCATTTCTATGCCTCTACGAAACGAGTTTGTGCTGTTTCTTCTGAAAGAGTGCTTGCCTGCAACATTTGTGAAGCCTGCCTGCATTACGCGAGGATCATTGCATAAAAGACCTTTATTAGTAGTTGGTTTTCTCTGCAGTCAGAGGCTTGGAAGAATTTCTGAAGTGGTCAGGGATGCCGTCATCCTTGTCCTTCAAATTGAAGTGGGTCTCAAGATATCCTACTTGGGAGTAACAAGAATAAATTTATTAAACATATGACCATGGGAGCAGCTATGCCACCATTCGCACATGCCTAAGATTAAACATATGGCCATGGGAGCAGCTATGCCACCATTCGAACATGCCTGAGATTGAAGTTGGCCTTCCATCAACAACATAAAATATTTCAGATATTACCCTTTTGAAGAATGCTTTGTTGGACATGATGAGATACAACTTGCTAGATGATCTCAATAGAAAAAGGCATTGTGATACTAATATTTTATAATTATAAAATACAAAAATGTGCAATAATATGATATTCCTTTCCTCTTATAATATGCTCAAGTTAGTATAATATGCAAGTTTTACTTCATAGTGTGATTGACAAGATTCTAGATGTTCCAGGTAACACTTTCTGGAAACCAACAACCTGTTCGCACTGAAATTACTGAGGCTGCAATGGAGTTGGGACCAGAAGTAAGTCACTTTGTTCAATGTTTCCGGTGGTCTTTTTTTGTTCTTTTCATTGGTCTCTCGATCATTGCCTACTTTGGACTAGAAAATATATTTGCATAAGATCATTCATATGTTTTTTTCTTGGATTTTGAAGTCTGATGAACCTTGTTTCTATGAAAAGTCTGGATCCCTACAGTGTAATCTGACCCTTCTATTTTCTGATAAAAGAATAAAACAATGTTTTTAAAAACAGGATCGGATTTGCTGGAAACGTGCCAATCCAGTCTATCATATACCAGTTATGAATTGTTGTCACATTTTGTTATAGAAGGTTATCTAAATTTTTCGTGTGTTAAAACCCTAAATACCCAAATCTCAAAACATCTCTTAAAAATTTATGATGGGGTCTTTTACAAACCCTTTCTCTCTTTAATTTTTTTTAATGGAAATGGATGGAATGTAAATGTTGGGTGTTAAAATCTTAGAGAGGGCATTGGAGATGGTTCACAATGAACCCCTCTTCTCTCTCTATTTTTTTTTTTCTAATTGACCATAGCAATTCCGGGGTCTGCTTTGCAGCTTCTTCCACAAAAGATAATCCAATCTGGTTTTTAAATCTGTCCATGTGAACCTTCTGATCTCTTCTCCAGCACAACATACCAAACCTGTACTTACAAAAGAAAAAATAATAAAGGAACAGGAAATTTGTCTAACATATATTTATATATTGAATCCATTGTAAACATGGGAAAATATTGAACTCTAATCTAGTTTTATATGATTCCTTTCATGGTAAATATGGGAGAACTATTAAACTTCTCGGTTTTTGAAAGATGATTTGCTGAACTTTGCAAATTTGACGTCTTGCCTTAGTCAAAGTGTGATTTGGAAAACAGTGGTTGGTGGCTGTCTTCAGATTATTTTGCTCTGGCCTCTTCAGCTGAATACTTCTCGTTGTACATCCAAAGCAGTGAGTAACCCGTTTTGATATTTGGGTATTAAGGGCATTGAACCCTAAATACCCTTATGTATATAGACATTCTCAGGAATATTGTGCATGTGTGAACGCAAAGCCTTGCAGCATGCATAGATTTGGGGTTGATTTGATACTTTCAGAGCCTATAGTTTTTTTTTGGTGGGTAATTGTGGAGTCTAGAAACAAGGCAAGATCTGTTAAGCATTGTAGCCCAACCTTGGGCGGTTGGGCCTGTTGTATTTCATATGGTTTGCTTACATTAGGACAGTGGAACAGCCGGCACCTCTTGGTCCCAGGGGAAAATTGATTTCCTTAGAGATAACCATTTTCTTTTCTTTTTTCTGTATGTTTATTCATATTGTTTTCCCTATTAATGTAGAAACTCTCGCTCTTGGTAACGGAGGCATACAAGGATGCACACCAAAAGAGCGTTCAGGTGAGTTCGGTTCTCTTATGAGTCCAGAACTCTTGTTCCTTTTGAAGCTCGAAGTTGGGGAGCTTCTTTGTTCCCCTTTTTTGTTGTTCTTCTATTGTAATAACTTTGATGACCTTTTCTCTCTCAGGCCATGAAAGAGAGGATGAGCAATCTTGCTCAGAGCCTTGGAATGCCTCCTGGCCTTAGCGAAGGGCTTAATAAATGACCATGGAGAGTTGATGCGCCTGCACTATTGAGGGTATCATTTTTGTACACTAGAAAAAGAAAGTGGTCAAACACATTTTCCTCTTGCACTGTATATTGTTTCGATCTGGAAGTGGTTTCCCTAAAGAGAAATGGGCAGTTTTATTAAAATTATTACTGAGAATTTGATAAATAAACATTCCTTTTGTATTTTAAACATTTATTTTTTTAGAACAATCACATGTTAATGCTCTTTCCTTTCATGTTTCCATGCATTTACTTGCTTTATTGGACTTCTTAGATGCTGAATGATACTGTAAATCATCTTCTTAAGAGTTCAATATGGACTTGTTTCATTGAAACTTGAATAATGGAATATCGGACTGATGTTTGCAGGTTTATTTCCTTCCAAAACTTCTATTTTGGCTCTGTTTGAATGACCCGACAACTCAGTTTTTCTTAATGAACGGGTTCACAAAAGGGGCGAACCCATGAATAGTGGAGTGGTCCAAGCTTCAGTTTTTTTTCCGGTCTAAATGCATGTAAGGGGAAATGGTGTCATTCCTTCTAAATAGTCTGCCCAAATAGGGCCTCAGCAGATGCATAACAAATATAACATAGTAGAAGCTAGTGTTCTGTCTGTACTACAAAGAACTAATGATTTGTGGTGGACTGCTTTTAGTGATAAATGCGATTCTTTTCTGAACCATGTCTGTCTTGGGAGTAGAACCAGTGGCATCCATGTTCGAACTTTTTGTGCCTGTGGTCTCCTTTTGGTATTGAGACATTCTTGTGGAACTAGCAGAGTTATCTTCTATATGCGCATGTGTGTGTGAGAGAGAGAACCACCAGTAGATTACAATTTCCATGAACTAAGCTCCTCATCAGAGTTCGCAGAACCGGCCTGTTAGAACCGGAATCAGCCTGTTAGATCGCTACCAGCGGGGTGGCAACTCCGGTTAGGGTCGGTTTTGGTGGTCTACTCAGTAGCCGGTGAGCTCCAAAAAATTTGGGTACAAAAACCGGCCGGTTAGCCCTTGAACCGGTGGTTTTTTTGCAAAACCGATCGGTTTTTGCTAACCAGACCGGTTAGCCTATATAACGTCTTATATAACGTAACTAACAGTAGAGTAGTACATAACGGCCATTATTTGGAAATTGATGCCGTTATTTGCAGTAGGCACTCTTGAATCCAAATTTTCATTTTTTTTTAATCCGTTTTCGTGCCTTTTTTGTTTGTCTTTTTTTCGTGATTTATTGTTGTAAATCACTATCTATAATTTATAAAAACAAGAAATTTGGATTGAACAGTTAAAAGAAAAAGAGTTTCTTGAATCGAAATGGCGGATTTTTTAGGTTTTTAAAAATTTTCACCATTCTTTCAATGATTTCTAATTTCTAAAGTACCAAATGGTTTTTGAAGAAATTTAGTGGTTTTGATAGATAATTAAATTATTAATCATATTTATGTTTCAATTTGTTCAAAAAACTACATATTATGGGTTGATTTTGGCTCGAAATGGTGTTGCTGCTCAAAGAACCTGTATTCGATAAAAAATAAAGATTTTTGATCTATTTATTGGTCGTTTTTTTTTATTAAATTGAGTTGTGGATTTTTATAATCAAATGCTTGATCTCTCAAATAAAATAGGTATATCTATTTATGATTGGTTAAATGTTTTTATATGAATTTTTTTGTTGCACCATATCATGAAAATTTCATAGATCTGAAATTTTCGCACTGTTTTCAATTAAATTAAAAATATCGAATATTTTTTGATGAGATCTGGTGAGTTTGAAAGATGATCGAAGCCTTTGCAATGGATGTATGTTTATTTGTTCGATTATCCAAACATGGTCGTTTCTTACTCCGAATTTTGCTTGATTTATGGGGTTTTTGGAAAATTGATTTTTTTTTAAAAAAATATTCTGTTTAATAAAATTATTTTTTATGATGAATATGGGAAGTGTTTTTCTATTTTGCTTAATAAAATTATTTTTAATAAAATTATGATTTTTTAATAAAATTACATTTTTTGATGAATATGGCAAGTGTTTTCCTAATTTGCTTAATAAAATTATTTTTAATAGAATAATGATTTTTTTAATATAATAAATTTTTTTGATGAATATGGGAAATGTTTTTCTATTTTGCTTAATAAACTTATTCTTTTTGATAAAATTATTTTTTTGATGAAATTGATTCTTTTTTTTAATAAGTGCATGATAATGTCGCTCGATTTTTTTTAATTATGTTTTTTTAAGTGCATGATATAGTTATATTTGTAATGATGGAAATGAGACATTTTGTTTTTTTAAGTGCATGTAAAATTTTTGGTTGCCTTATGTTCAATGAAACACTACACCATCGTCATGTATGCGTTTGGTTCTTCTCTTTTATTTTCTTCTTCTTTTCTTTCTTTTTATTTTTATTTTTTATTTTTTATTTTTTATTTTTTTATCAAGGTTTTTGGAATGTTTTGCAAAGAGTCTTTAAAAGATCAACCGATTTTTAAAAAATCGGCCGACTACCTAGGGATCGGTCAGGTAGTTGGTCACTAGCTGATCCTGATCTAGCTCGATTCCAGAGAGAGAGAGAGAGAGTTTTACAAAGGTGATATTAATTTCGAATCATCCTCACATTTTGATAAATTGATTTTTTCTAAAAAAATATTCATTTTGCTTAGTAAAATTATGTTTGTTTATCAATATGGGAAGCTTTTTTCTATATTGCTTAGTAAAATTATCTTTTAAATAAAATTATGTTTTTTAATAAAAAATTATGCTTTTTGATAAATATGGGAACTGTTTTTCTATTTTGCTTAACAGAATTATGTTTTTGATAAACTTATGGTTTTTTAATAAAATTATGTTTTATGATGAATATGGGAAGTGGTTTTTCATTTTGCTTAGTAAAAATTATTTTTTGATAAAATTATGATTTTTTAATAAAATTATGTTTTATGATAAATATAGGATGTGGTTTTCCATTTTGCTTAATAAAATTATTTTTTGATCAAATTATTTGTTCTTTTGTTCTTATTTTTTGATAAAATCAATGCACAATACATGGATATGGATATGGTATGGAAGAGGTCCTTTCTATTTCTGGTCTTAATTACTTGGCGTTTTTGTTTTATTTAATAGTATCAAGCTACTTTTGTTATTTGCAAAAAAGTGCATAAACTTTCATTCCTATTGTGAGCGATTTTTGTACAAAAGAAACTAGAAAGTTTTACAATGTAAGGTTTGGAATGACTATGTTAATTCTTGGAAGATGTTACATGACAAAAATATCTTCAGAAAATATCTTAAGATATTTTCATGTACAGGATCATAGTATTTAAATATTAATTTATAAAAAGTTGTTTCAATTTTTTTTGTTCAAGATAAATATATTTAATAAGATAGTGTACACTTAATCCAAGTATTTCTACTTTTTAATTTATTTTTTTGGGAGTTTTTGACCTATTTTTTTTTTTAAAAAATCAACTTGACTGGTTAATCCGATTTACCTCCCCAATTAGTCCGATTCCAGTTCAAACTGCTCCCATCCCCATGTTTGGTTAAATGTTTCGGTTCGATTTTACTAACGCTGCTCCTCGTACAGTGAATATCGAGAGCATTTAGCACGCTTAAATGGAGTTCCGGCAAGACCAACATGTTATACGATACGCTCACCAAATAAAGAAGAATCACAAAAGTATATGAACAAAGTTTCGAAGCATCTCTCAACTTTTAATCCTCCTCTGTTGGAAAATTACATGGCCTTTGTGGCAAGATGATTCACTATAACCGTTTGGACGGTTTTGATGGTCTGTTAACTTTAGGGTCTATTGCCAATGGTCCGATTAGGTTCAAACATCATTCGCATATATGCACCGAGGTACGTGCATGTGTGGGAATGGAAGATGTGCAATTTTTGAGTGATGTCCACACATGGTCACACATCTAGACAATGCATTTTTACTTATTTGGCAAACTAAGCCATTAGAAAGGTTAACACAGTCTAATTGTAACTTTGATTCTTTTTCAGTAATACAATTTGTTCTGTGATTAACACATACATATTCTCCTTTCCAAGAAATGATAACATACAGTTGCAATTTTGAAGTTTACAATGAAGTTGGATGGAGGGCATCTGTTTCTTGTAGGCATGAGCTTGTTGATCTCAATTATCAGGTGATTTAAGAAGTAGGAAGCGGTTTTCCGGCCAAAAATGACCGAAATAGTGTCAAGGCTCTCGTCGGTTGAAGCACTGGTACTTCATGCCCTGCCCCTCTTACCGTTGCAAAGGTAAGGCCATGGTAGACCTCTGACCGGCCTCCAACCTATAAAAATGAAAATGTGGTCTATATTTGACTTCTTTTTTTTTGTTATGAGGAAATTAATGTGCATTAAACTTGCTTTAAATGCATTGTGATATTGGGGCTTTTTACTTCAGTCATATTTTAAGTCAACTTGGGACAGTGATATTAGGGCTTTTTTGTTTCAGTTATAGGATTTGAAACTCATCTACTATAGAACTAGTTAATAAAAATGTATAAAGCAGAAATTTTATGGAAACTACGTAACAGGGAGCAGAGGTGATGTTGTTATACCGGTCTCTACCTCCTAGTGTGCAGGAGGCAATGGGCCCGGTATCTCGGCCCTGCCTGGCTGTGTGCGGGCCTGAGCTAGCATATGTAGGTCATAAGCTGGGTCCTGACTGAGCAGTTAATAGCCAGCCTGGCTTGATCACATATAGAGAGTCTATGCCAGGCCCTGGCGATCGGACTGCACCTGGGCCTGGCTTAGTGCAGCTCAAGCCTGGCACTTTCCAAACCCATGTACCTAGCCTAACAAACTCTTGGTGAGCAAGGTTGTAAAAATAATGAGTGAAGACTTCCTTTTGTCAAATGACTCGAGAAAACCACAACAGTTTGTAATTTGCTCTCACCAATTTGAGTCGATTTCAGTTGGGTCCATGATCAATGTTCCTAAAGTTGTTGAATCTGAACTCTAAATTCATGAAGTTGATTTCATATGATGTATTTACACGAAAATGAAGAAGGAAAAAGAAAAGGAGCAAACCTGGCCTTTAGAGTACCAAGGATACCATGGGATCTTCACTGGAAGGTTCAGATGGCTGAGGGAAAACCTCGTGGCGGTTACTGGAACTACAGCATCTACATCACCACTGTCGCAGACATGTAAATTATTAGAAAGAGACACAAGTCCATGGTTTTATGGGTTAAGTGCTGGAGTAAGCACAAAATGTTTTTGACACTTTTTAGTGTTTCTCTTCTGGAATGTTTTTATCGTAGGATTTAGTTGTGTGACTAAGTGGCATGCTACGAACATTCCTTCTCCAACTCCTAGTTTGTTCTGCTTAGATTAGTGTTATCAGGATTGGATTTGGATTGGACATTGAATTGGTGAGGGTCCAGTCTTCAGTTTGAGTGCCAATTCTACTGGCTGGAAAAGATTTAAAGAAAAATATAAATAACAATTTTAAAATATGAAATATAGTACTAAAAAAGTTATCAACTTTATTTAATCAGTCTAACCGATAAAAAGGCCACTTTAATAATCGAAATCTCTAAAAATTAAGTCTTGATTACTTTTCGACCAAACTCGATTTTAGCTTTAGAATAGATTTGGTTTTGATAACTATGCTTGAAATTATGGTTATGGTCAACATACCAACCCTAAGGTCAAATATAGAAGGGGAAGAAAGGGCCGAACCTTGGGGGAAAAAAATGTCATTTAATAAAGCTCTAAGAAAAGCCATTTTCTGAAGCTATCCAACTAGTAAGCTCAATAAGGTATCCTCGAATAAAAATAAATAGAAAAATATGAAGTTATTCAAACAAAGACCAAATTTAAATCATAGTTTCAAATTTTGACCAAAATTAGTGTATTATATTTCTCAAACGTGACAAATATAAGAATAACCTCTAGCAATGCCACCAAAATTGGAATGGACAAGTAAGTTCAACACGTTGTCTTGGCTAGTACGGTCTGAAGCAAAATTTACGCTTGGTCGAAAATAGTTTTAAGCCGGTTTTAGGTGGTCCTACCACATGTTTTCCATCAATTGGACCAACTACACAAGTTTGGGCAAATATACTATATTTTGTAGTTTTATACTATCATTTCTGTATCTCTTTAATTTTTTTATAATCGTGCCCAAGCAATGTAATAAATGACTGGGCCAGTTTTTACTGGACCATCCCTTAATCGATTAGGTGGCCAATCTGATTCTGACGACATTGGCCTCGACTGTCCTTAATCGATTCGGTGGCCAATCTGATTCTGATGACATTGGCCTCGACTGCCACAAAAAATTGGAGGGAGTTTTCCTCTATTTTGATATCATTGGACATGACTCACCTGAAAACCCAAATTCTGAGGCCAGCCTTGATGAGCTCCCTGTAGGTGGGCAACATGGAGAAATCGGAGTCCTGCCAATTCTTATTCAGCAAATCACTGCAATTTCATGCCCCAAAATATTATTTTATTATAAAACACACTATTAGTATTCCAATTTCACAGTTTCAATATTTGGAAGCTTTTACATTAGGGAAAGATGTACTCCCTCCCCGATCCAACCATCCAATTTATTTCAAGTGACACACTGGCCGTTTGATCTAAATTCGATGTCTGAGAGTATTTAATTTTTCTTGTTTTTATAAATTATATGCATATGAAATTTGATTCGTGCCATCATCTCAATGAGGAGCACCTAAAACAAATATTGAAAAGATAATTTCGATAAAATACAATAACCAAAATACCCCTAAATCTTTCATGGGCATTTTGGTTATTTTATTTTATTGAAATAATTATCTATTTTATATATTTTACAAGTGTGGATTTAATAGAGGAGTGGACGCCCAAAATTTGGTGTCAAAATATTTATAGAAAATTTTAAAAATAAAATAGTATAAAAGTGTGAATTGTGATTGGGGCCATCTCAACTATATCTAAATCAAAATGCATAGTTAGATAAAGATAAGTATATAAGTTTTATACAATAGGAGAAGCGAAGAAAGCCTGGAATTAGTTTTGCATAGTTCAAGAGTAGTTTATGATTTGTGAGGAAATAAGCAATCTCCAACTAAGTAAAAATATAATTTAAAGATTCCATGAATTCTCTTTTAAAAGAGTTTTCGGTGCGTTCTTTTCTAATTTTTGAACACAGTTTCTATGCGGCCAGCCCACATATTGTAGAAATGCAGGCTTGACAACAAATATAATTGGTCCTAAATTTTAATGAATATATAATCTTTAACATGGAGATCATGAATATGAAAAAGAAAAGAACTTGAAAATTAGAAATAATAATTATAATAAGAAAATATTTGGACCGTTTGTTACACTTGTTTTTAGATGGACCACCTATTTGCATCCATCTTAAAGATGGATGCTTTATACCTGTGGATCACATATTGTAGAAATGCGGTCCAGCCCACATGAAACAATTTTTTTTAATTTTTTTTGGGGTAATTCAATGGGGAAGACATACCCCTACCCGTTTTTTTTCAAGTAGATTAGGAGCTAGCTGTTTTGAAGGTATTAGTGGAGTGATGTTAGTAGTAGAAATGGAAACCACTGCTTTTCCTTGAAAGCGAAGGCTTGCCGAGTGAATTATTTTTCTTAGTGCCATCTAAAAAACCTCAAATTTTATAATGACAAAAAAGTACCATTTGTGATTTGGAAAAAGTTTATACAAGGGTGATATCCTAAATAATCACATTAAGGCGCACCTCAACAATTCACTAGAAAAGGTTGTTTTGATTCTCCAAAATCTTCAAATAGATCATCTCGACCTCAAGATGTGTATGGAAATGAGAAAAAATAGATTTCAATTCTTGAAAATAGTGCATCATGCATTGTATTTTCTAGACCATCAAATTTCAAGATTTGCAAGTGGGCATAGATCTGCTCGATCTACACTATCTTTGAAACTTTAAATTTTATTATTAGATATGAAAATAAAATTTCAAGCCATCACAAAGATTTCTAGTACTGAAACAATGTATTTCAACGCTATTTGAAGGTGCGCCTTACTTTGATTATATAGAGCCTCTGCCTTGTGCAAATCACACCCCTTGTGACTTACCCTCCTCTTATGTAAACAAGCATACTAGAAAATTGGAAAAACTACCCTTGTAGATCAAGAAGAAGAAGAAAAAGAAGGAGAAGAAGTAATTATAAAAAGAAAGAGAATCAAAGTTAGTAGGACATGGGGCCTTGGCTTATTGGTTAAGGATAAAATCTTTTTAGTCATATGTAATTTTTTTGTTTTTGATACGTTAACAGTCGAAATCGAGGTAGCGATGTTATGTGTGCATTTCACCTGCATCCTGTCCACTTATACGGTATTCGGGTCGTATTTGCATGTAGGGCCCTTTGCACATCAGGACTATTGTAGAATCTCTCTGCATAGTTCTCTGTACATGGATCGTAGCCTGCGATCCTACGCCTCAGCAATGTATTCTTGAACCACAGCGCAGTGGCGTTAGATGAACATGGTGGTGTATAGATGCTGTACTGGTCGATTTTTCCGAACTCGTGGTTACTTATATAATCGAAAAGACCATTGCAGTTAGCTGAGTATTCTGGCTCTGAGAAGTTGCAGGAGGAAAGTACAGCTTCATATGTGGTGTCTGAGATCAAGGCATGGCTCCACCAATAGTTCACTGTCCCTAAGTTGTCGTAGTAGTTATCCATCACGCCATTTCCGACCTGCATTTCCAAAGTTTGAGTTTCTCGAATGAGGGGCATTTTGGTCATTTCCGAGCTTTAAACATAGGGAAAGTAAACTTGTACTTGGGGGAGTTTCCTATGATGTATAACATCCACCATTAACATGTACCAATGGTGTATGGTACAATATTATTAACACCGAAGCACGCAACAATCAATGTAAGGCGCACCTTCAAATTTTATCATAACACATTTTGTGCAAGAAGTTTTTAGGACTTAAGAATCTGTTTTCATATTTAATTATAAAATTTTAAATTAAAAAAATTGTCCGAATCAAGTAGATCTTTAAACTCATGAAAATCTTGAAAATGAACGGTTGGATACCTTGTTGCATGATGCACTATTTTTGGATTAAAAAATAATAATTAAAATAAAAATAAAATTATATATATATACATATGGGTGCGGGTTCTATAAGGATGCAGCCTTAAACAATGCAATTATGGTGCACTTTAAAATTTTATCATAACATGTAATTTTGTTATTAAAAATTCTTAGCATTATCTAAAAATTTATTTTCATACCTAATTAGAAAATTTTTAATTCCAAAAATGGCCCCTACCATCCAGCCATCCATTTTTTATCAAGAGAGCCACTCATCATTTGATCTTAGATCTGATGTCTCAAAATAATTTATTTGTAGTCTTTTAATGCAATTTTTTTTTAATATAAAATTTGGTACGTGCCATATTCTCATTGGGGCGCACCTATAAAAAAATACTAGCAATAATTTTTCGATAAAAAATAATGACCAAAATACACCTTGAAATTTCAGGGGTATTTTGGTTATTTTATTTTATTGAAAACATTTTTTTATATTTTTCGTCAGTACAAGTTTAATATAGGAATGGACGTCCAAAATTTGGTGTCAAAAAAATTTATAGAAAAAATATTAAAAATAAAACAATGTAGAGATGTGACATTGTGATTGAGGCAATATTAGCTCTCCATTAAAAAATGGACGGTTGGATAAGGGGAACATAGAACTTCTATGTTGTAGGGAGAATATAGAAAGCTTTCCCTATATATATATATATATATATATATTCTATATTCATACATCTCGATATCGAGATATAGATATGATCAAATAGAGGGTTTTCCAACCTCAAAATATCATTTTTCGATGGAATTTTGAGGTACACCTTAATTCTACAATTTAAAGGTACACCTTAATTCTACAATTTAAAGTTGCAACTTTATCGAAAATTTTTCTTTCAGTAAGAGCATGGCAAATTAGTAAATGTGAATGTGTGTGTGCTGTGACAAAAAGGAGAAAGAGACATACAAGGATGCCTTTGAGGTTGATGAGGTAAGGTTTTGTTGCTATCTTGTTATACTCTTCTATTTTCTTTGCCAGCTGAGGAATGTAATGCCCTGTAAAAAGAGTTAGAGAAAGCAAACGAAAAATTATAAAAATGAAAAAAAAGAATTCACACATAGCTGTATAAAAAAGAAAATTTCCGAAATAATAATAAATAAACAACATACCTGCATAACTCTCTCCACAAATGTAAAATTCTCTATATCTATACTCTGGAAACCTTGCCAGCCATTTAATGAGAAAAACCAAGGCATCTTGAGCTGTGTCAATACATGCAAAGAATGGAATATTTATACAAATTGTTTAGAAGAAGAGCACAAAAAGTTACAACTGCTATTATATTATTCACTATATAAATTAATTTGGCAAATGAAAAATACAAAAAAGAATATAAAAAATAAATGAAAGTCCCATTTGGGTTTAAAAAGAACATAGGTATCTTATCCTACCAGTTCGTTCATCCCCCGAGTCCTTAAGATCAGAGGTGGTGTTTGTATAAGAAAAACCTACTCCAGCTGGGGATTCAAGAAATAGAAGATTGGCATCTGCAATAAGATAAAGAGTAAACTATTAGATTTTCTTTGCTACAAATAAGAAGTAAGAGGATAATAATTTGAATAAGGGTTACGTTCAGGTACTCGTACATATGACTATTTACTTGATGTACTCAATGTTTTTGGATACTCAATACCTATATTATACCATGTAGTAACTTTTTTGTTTAGATATATTTTAAGTAATTAAACAGAAATAAAGTTGAAATTCTTGATTAAAAAAAAAACGTTTCTTACTTATAATAGAGCATGACATTATATGACATCACCTATATAGAGTAATGATACCTTCTTAACTACTAATAAATGTCGCTATTTTAGTATAAAAATATCTATCCTATCCCTCTTAATTATAAAAAATGCCCTTACTAAAAAAAATTGTACTACAAAACATAGATATTATAATCGGTAGAGTAACTTAACCTCGTCCGGTAGACAAGGCAAGTGGGGGGTGCCCCAATTGCTGAGGAGCAAAGAAACCCTAAAAAATATTAAAAAATTCAAACATCACCAAAAATATGTAAATGCCATTACATTATTTAGAGCAGCGTATTTAGATAATTTGGATGTTTTTTAAGATAACTTGGGAACTTTTTTTTTTTGTTTTTTAATTTTCTTGAAATTTTTTGATAATCATTTTTTATACATTTTTTTAAGATCATTTAGTCTTCTAGTCATTTGTATTGCCTCATTTCACTTTCACTAAATTTTAACTAATTTTACAAATTTATGTTTCTTTATTTTGTAACATATTCTTGGAGTGTATAAAACTCAGTCGAGTCCACTCAAACTCGGCCTGGTTTCTAAGGGTCGAGTACCTTGGCCGGAGTAAATACTTTTTTGTGGCCAACAACTGATGGCTCTTTCAGTTATCAAGTATGGACCCACTTTTTATGTAGGCCCTTGATGCCAAATATGGTATGCGCTCTATTTCACGCAACTTTTATTTAATTTGGACGGTGTAGATTTTGTTTCTACTTCTAAATACAGGGATCAAGAGAATGATCACTACCCATCAATACAATTAGACGGTGTAGATGTCGGGGTCGCACAACGACAAAATAATGAATACTTTTCTATCTAAACATATATCTTATGGTGCAATAGCCACTATTATTTTTATACTGGATTCTTCATTTTCCGAGCAATAATATATGGATAACATGTTGGCCTAAATAAAATCTATGCTCGTAGTTTAAGAAAGTAAGAATATGAATACCTTTATTCCAAGAAAACTTATTCAAATATAGGCTGTGTCCCGTCTTATTAACCCGGAAGGGTCCAATCTCCTCCGAAGCTCCAAATGCTATGGATGAACACCCTGGGCCTGCAAATAATTCCCAAACCATTACAAATACTTCCTTTTTTATTTTTTCGAGGAATCCATGCATAACTTATCTAAAACACCTTTTTCAAGCTTTGTGTCATTTTTTCTCTATAATTTTTTAAAATTTATTAAATGGAAAGTATGCAATAGGTTAAGGGAAAAGTTTATATAAGGTTGCAACCTTAAAATGTAGAACTATTGATGCACCTCAAAAACCCATCGGTAAAAGTTGTTTTAATGTTGAAAAACCCTCTAATTGATCATCTCGACATCAAGATGTATGACTATGAAATAAGAAAAAAAGAAAAAAAGAAAAAAAATTGAGTCCCAGAAATGGTGCATCTTACAACACATTTCAAGATTTTCATATGTTTATAGAACTACTTTATTTTAATAATTTTTGGAATTCAAAATTTTATCATTAGATTTGAAAATAGATTTTGAGATAATCTTAAGAATATTTTACATCAAAATTATATGTTATGATAAATTTGAAGGTACGCCTTAAATGGATTGTTTAAGGTTGCAACCTTTATGATAACCACACCCAAAGGTTAATTACCTAAAACCTCTTGTCTTGGAACTCTATAATATCACGAAACCAATGTCAGATATTCTACAAATAAAATTACATAGTATATACAATGAGACCATTTACTATAGGTACAAGGAGGTCATAGATATTTATGACAATTCGATATGAAATCTAATAGCTTTGGTGCGTCACAAAATTCGAGATATTTTCTTTTAACCTTTGAACTTGATCAATGAAATAAATACAACCACCCGATTTTACATCCAATAGTCAAGATTAATTGTGACCACCTTGAAACAAAGGTAAATAGCCTCATTGTATACATTTTCATAAAATTAAAGTTAAGGTTAATTAAACACTAACCAAGTAGAGTATATAATTAAAATATTTTCCTATACAAATTTTGGAAAACACTGATAAGCTTTAAGAACTAAATAAAGAGTTAAAAAAATTGAATATCTTTAAAAATGGTACGTGAAACAAAAATGCCATTAATTAGTAATCTTCTAAGGTCATAACATGAGTTAGCTACCTAAGCATGTTCATTAATTTCATCTCTCAAGTTAATGACTCAAAAAAAAAAAAAAAAAGGACTTTTCTTGCAAAGTTTCTATTTGGTCATTTTGGTATTTTTGTAAAGACTCTCTCTCTCTTATGTGCAATGATGAAGAAACGTGAAGATGGGTAGTTTTCAACTTTTTACCGGACTTCTCTCATTCCTGAATGTGTGGTCTCCTTCCCAAACTTTGTGTGTAACTTTTAGTGACAGGGGTTCATTCCCTGTGTGGCAATAAGAATAATAACCAAAGTATCTTATCATTTATCTTGTTTCTATGGAATATTTGTGCATTTAACTATTGTTTTTTTCTCTTTTAACAATCCAGAACAGACAAAAGTGGCTGAAAATTCCAATTTTTTTTTGACAGATATGCTTTTTCGTCTTTGCCCCATTAAGGAGGGGTCCATAGGCATGCTAGACAGGCCCTGCACAAACCCTAACTCTTTCTTTCACCTTATTATTACAAGTCAAACTTATTTTTAATTCCCTTGAAAGGTCCTTTGCCTTTTCTCTCACCTTTCTCCTTTTTAGAACCTTTTCATTGATATGGAATGACCTTGTAGTCCTCAACAGTGCTAAAAGAGCTTTTGCCCCTCTACTTTCAAGATATGTACCCAAGTACCCGTTAGTTCCTCGGGAAAGGTATTGGGTGCTAGTGGTAGCACCCCATACCTAGTCATTATATTGTGGTTGTTGGTTTTTCGAAAAAGGTATTGGATGTTGGTGGTAGCACTCTATATTTAGTCATTATGTTGTGGTTTTTATTTTCACTGATACGGACTCACTAACATCTTAAAAAAACTAATTTTTAAATTATTCATTTTTGTTGACATCGACCCACTAACACCTCAAAAAAACTAACTCCTAAATTATTTGAAAAAATGGGTAGAGGTTTGTCTTCTAGATTGAATTATAAAAAAAAACTGTTGGTTTTCATGTAAGAATATTCACACTGTTATTCAGACTATGGCTAACTGTTAATGTATGGATATGGATATGTATCCATACAAATGCATATTCATATTGATGTGTATCAGTATGACATTTATCTATAACCATAATCTTATCAAGAGTATACATATGCATATCCATACTAATATGTATCAGTATAATACACATACATATCCATATGTTAACACTAACAGGATATTCGTAATCATTGGACTCGATGTCGGTTGAAATAGTTGGGCAGGATTTAAGAAACAAAAAATTAAATTTAATTAGGGTCTTGGACTCAGATTGATGTCAGTTGAGCTATTTGGGCAAGATGTTAAAAAGAAAAATTAAATATGATTAGTCAAAGCTGGCTAGTCATATTACTAAAAACATTCAAACTATATGCTAGACATATTGCTAAAAACATCCAAACAATAATTTTAATTGATTTTCAACTAAACTTAATTTTTGCTTTAAATCATATAGACCAATGCACTCATTGATCCGGTTGGTTTGGAGCGGTCTGGTCATGTTAACAACAGATATCATAGATTAAAGCCCATTAAATAGAGGCCAGGTCTACCCCCTTTGTTATGTGGAGAGGGAGGTGGAATTTATTTTTTATTTTTTTAAAAAAAGGGTTTAGGTCAGGACTTTGTAGTGCAATGGTGACGTCTGCCGTAACCACCAAGAACACAAGAGACTGAACCTCAACTTCTAACTTATTTTCTTGGGAAGGGTAAGTTGTTCAGCCAGTCCATGAGTGAACATATGAATTCGACCCACTTTCTAGGGTTTCAGTCTGTTTTTTGCTTTTATGTTTTTCAGCTTTTCACTTGGTACATTCAACGTACAAATGTGGTTTAATTTCGAAGTGAAGACTTCATGGAAAGGGCAAAAGGGATCACATAATTCATTAGTCATAATCATGCTTACTTGTTTTATGCAAAAAGCACATCTAATCCCTTCCCATATTTTTGAAAGTAAATCATGACATAAATATTGGATATATACATGAATTTGCAGTTAATATTAATTCAGGTAGACCACTTATGCCCATGGAAGAAGAATCTGTGAGTCATTTAGGTGTACCCATAACTTGGTCCCTCCAAATTTAGAAAATGGCTCCTAAAAACACTTCCACGTAGTCCAAAAGATATTATACTCCCTCGAGAGTATACTATCCATTTAGTCCCTCGGGTAGAACCCCATCTAAGATTAATTCTAGGACCTTAAATTTTGGGGACTTAATCTTTTCAATCTTTAGATTAACTTCAAGAAAATTTTTTTTTTTTCTGATTGGATCATCTATGCACTTGAGAAGAACAATGTCTGAAGATTGAATAGAGATCGTCCAATTTTTATTGGGTGAGATCTAAGTGTTAGGAAGCTCAAAATTCAATTTTTGCCTTTTGAGAATAACAATCTAGTGATTCTTAAGGGGTTCGGAAAATTCCAGATTGAAAAATCCTTCCATGTAGGTTTCTTGACTACGGGAGTAGATGTACATTATGCTCCCGCATGAGCATAGTACACACGCTCTTTATATAGACCAACAAGTGCATAGTTGTTTGCAAAAATTAGAAAAATGAAATATGCTCATAATGAGGTCTACCCACTTACCCTAAACTAGGAATTTAGTGAAAAACTTAACATTAAAAATACAAAAAAAATAAAAAATTTTTTTAGCTAAAATACTCCTTGCCTTCAAATCCAAAACATTTATAAACAAATTGTTAGCAAAATTTAGAATTAGAATAGAACTGGTTAGGAAGAGCGATTTGATTCAAGTTAAAGAAAGGGTTGCCCAAAAAGATATGGATGGAAAAATCTCATTTTTTTTTTTAAAAAGAGAGAATTTCGTTTTTTAAGAGAGAGAGTATGATATTCCCAAATTCCTACAGGAAGCTGGCGAAGAAAAATGATGGTGCAGGAAAAAAAAGGCATCATCTATGTGCTCTCCTGTAAACTCTCGATGCCACATCTTCCTAACCTCATTTTTAAACTGTAATATGCAAGCAGAGGGAGAGAGAAGCAATAGGAGTAGAGGAACTGAGAGCAATAGGACAAGAGGAACTGACACTCTACAGCTCAAGAGAGAGAGCGAGAGCTGAGCTGTGCTCGAATAATGGTTTTCAAACATGATTTAAGAGAGAGAGAGAGAGAGAGAGCTGAGCTGTGCTCGAATAATGGTTTTCAAATATGATTTAAGAGAGAGAACTGAGCTCGAATAATGGTTTTCCCACATGAATTTAGAGAGAGAGAGCTAAGCTCGAATAATGGTTTTCAAACACGAGAGAGAGAGAGGAGCTGACCTCCATTGAGCCAAAGGACCAGAGGCTTCTCATTCGCATTGGAGGTGGCCTCAGTTAACCAATAAAACAACGCTCTCCCATGCGTCTGATTCACAGTAACATAACCCGAAAACTGCTCGAAACTTACTTTGGGCTGTCCTGGAAGATTAATTATCCGATCTTTTTCTCTCTCATCACCCCAAACTCCATTGCTAAACAAGAATAAGGAGCAGAAAACAAATGAAAAGGAGAGAGAGAATGGGGGAACTGAAGGCATCGCTCTATTCATTGCACCCCGAGACAATAGTAGAGAGAGAATTCATGGAAAGAATGAGTTGGGATGGGCAATTATAGAGAGAGAAAGGGGGCTCGAGGTCAAATGGTGACATATTACAACAACAGCTTGCAGGTTTTGGCAGATAGAGAGGGTCTTTTTTCCCTATTAAAAAACCGGGTAAACATGGAAATTAAAAAGCAGTAGAGACAGAGAGAGAATGGGCCCAAAAGAAGGTTTCTAGGAGAGGGGGCCATTTAAGAAAGCGGAATAAGGGCAGGTTTTGGAAGCAGGGAAAAACAGGGGCCATAAATGCCACAGGAACAGTCTGTAAAAAATGGTGGTCCTGTGTGGGTAGTTTGATAATCTCTGCCTGTTGGATTCCACAAATATGGTAAAGACAAAAGAAGAGAGAGAAGGACGAAAAACTGGTGTAGATGTGAGAAAGTGAAGTTGATAATGAAACTACAGAAGCACAATAGAGAGAGAGAGTCATGTGGGTGAGTGGAAACTGATGAGAGAGAGAGTGTGTGTGTGTGTGATGATGGTGAGTGGGAAATTAAGGTGGGTAGTTATTTTTTTGCTCTTTCGTTTACGATTTTACAGGTTTGGTGGTTAGAGAAATCAAGTTTCTCTCCTTTTTTTCCTGGGGTTAAAGAATGAATAAATCATTGAGAAAATGAGAATTTAATGTGTCTTAGTTTTTTACAGTGAGTTTGACCTCTAAAGTTGATATTTTGGTAGCAATCAGGTGAAGAAAACTAGGTGAACAGAACTACTCATACAAGTACGCCAAAGATCTGGACAACACTTAATTAGAGAGACTGTGTGTGAGTTCATTACAGCTTTGGTACAGACAATACTTTGGGGTAGAGAAAGAGATTTCCACGATTGTGGTGTGTTCATAGTGGCATTTGGTCAACAACAAAAATTGTGCTAGGTAAAAATTCAATAAAAATCAGGGACAAGTACAAAAACCCCTTAATTAACTTTCTTTACGACCTCCCTGTAATTAATTTTTTTCGCAATTTTTATCTTAAAACTAATTGATATAACATAGACCCCCGAATCAAAAAGTCATAGTTTGGAAGAAAAAAAGATGCTTGCTTGTACATGAAGGTACCACATTTCTGTAGACTGTCAATTACCAAAGACGGTCTAGCACATATTATTGTCGGACTGGAACCCATACCACACATTACATGTCAGACCGCAACAACAATCTGCCGGACCGCATGCAACTTATGCCGGACTGAGGCATCATAGTGTCGAGCCGACATAGCTGTCGGACCAGAAGAACAATCTGGTGGACTGCATTTACAAGTTTCAGACCAAGGCATCATATATACCGGACCTTAGCAACAATCTGTTGGACCGCATTTACAAGTGCCGCACTGACAACATTCAAAGACCAAGGGGTGGGCATTTTGGTCGAAAAAACTATGACTTTTTTACTTTGAGGAATATTTGCTGTAGAAGTTTATTTCGGGGTAAACATTACAATAAAAAAGTTGGGTGGGAGGGGTTGTAAACAAAGTTGACTAGGCAGGTTTTTGTAATTTTGCCTAAAAAAATAATATTTAACTTGTTTTTACAGATTCAATTATTTAATTTTGACAAATTAAACAAGCTGAACCAAGTTGGGGAATTTTATTTTTTAAAATATATTTCATAGTTTTAAAATGCTCTTATTTATAATCAAACAGAAATTGGTTAACGTAGATCCCTAACCAGTTCGATGTCCAGATTAATTATAGTTCATAGTAATAATAAGCACAAGAAAGACTACTACAAGGAAAGGAATTGAGAGAGAGACTACTTCATTGCCAGTACTAAAGACTTGGACAAACATGGAGAGAGTGAGAGATAGTTTACTGCTAGCAATTACCAGAGAGGGAGATTACCAGCAATTGCAACAAGGGATAGAGAGGAACATACCGTGGGTGAAACTCCCCAAAAAAAAAAAACTCTCTTCTACCCTTGAAATAATGAGGGGGAAGAAAGGGACATTCAACCAACAGGCACATATAGATATAGAAACAGATATGCATGCAACTCTTGGCAAATATTATCTATTCCTTTGCCATCATTATAAAATGTTGCAAGACTTAAAATGGCATTCGTATCCTCTAAGGCATACCCCAAATTGAAAGAAACAAAATGATCAGGAGATAGATACCAAGAAACTTCATTGTAGATAGATAGTTGGTCAATTCATACAAAATAATGGAGATAAAGAAAATCACATCCATCCAAAAGAAGTTAATGTCTCCATGCATGACCTCTAACTTCTTAAAATAAGCATCTTCAAATGTTCAATCAAATGGCCTGTCCCTTGTGGTGTAATTTAGTGAATATTCTTGAACATGTATGGATTCATTTCTAGTCTTCCAAAACAAACATGTCTAAATACCATAACAGGAGATTGACCTTCCAAATCTCTCTCTCTTCCAAATGTTTAACTCTCTCTCTCTCTCTCTCAACTTTGCATGGGTATAGTTCCTAGGGCCTTCTGTACTCATTGAATATTGAGTAAGAGTTTTTTAATAACTTAGAGAAGGCCCATCTTTACCTGTTGAGGATAGGGTCGTGGATAAAATTATTATTCAAATTTCATGATTAGTTGCTCAGAGTAGTATTCAAATTCAATCATTTAGATAGCTTTCTCAATTAAAATTCAATGATTTAAATAGTCTTATTTTGCATTTTAATGATAAATAATTCTTAAGAGTTGTAGGCGTGCATCAAATTGAGTAGAAATGTCTAAAACCCAGTTTAGATGGACTTAAGGACACTTTCAATTCTGTTTCTTTATAACACGAGTACTCCGCAATGTCTTTGCCCATGATCATGGTTTAAAAAGACGGTGATTTGGATCAGAATCAGCCGATTTAGATTGGAAACCAATCATGCTGTCCTAGTTCTTGTAAAATATTGGAAATCGGTCGGTTCCATCCATAAACTAGGGGGTTCTGGTAAGTTCTATGATAAAACCAAACCAACCAGTTCTGTTAGAGCACCAGCCAGAATCGGCCCGACTTTATTTTTAAATTTTCTTCAAAATTTTATTGGCCGGTTCAGTAGAATGAATCATCGAATTTGGACCATTGACCCACCGAACCGGACTAGTTTTCCAGATAAGCAATGTGGGTCACCAATCTGTTTTTTTTTTTAAACCTTGCCTACCACCATTTTTAGCCCCGCTTGCTTGAAAAACGTTGTAAAATTAGCCCCTAAGTTCGTTTAGCCTCACAAAGAAGAATGCATATTTTATCTTTAATAGCATTTAATGCTAGTGATAATATACCTGCTTGACTTAAACTATATTTGAATAAGTCTGATCTGTTTTTTATTCTCTTGGATAATGGCAGCCTAGTTGACCAAAAAGCAATTACAGATAAAGAAATGGTAAAGAAAGTTTGGGTGATGGGTTCTATACCTATGCTATAAAGAGAGAGGTACATATGTCACACAAAATAAACGCCTCCAGCTCAAAAAAATAGACATGACACTATATATCATTTAATAAAAGCGAATTCTAGTTGATATCAAGAACTCCATTAACATTTCAATCAAAAACGTTAAACATAAACGTAAATATCGGCAATGGTGTACCATACATGCCAAAAACCATAAATATGCAGGTCCAAATTATATAATTCCATACTTTATGCTTAGGCAAGTATACCATACAAAACCCTATGCAATTGTATATGGGTCAGTCCTCAACTACAGATAGTTGTAACTAGCCATGTTTCAGTGACAAATATTCCCAAGGGTATTGCTACTACCCACCATCCGTTAAATATGGATTATTGTGTGACATTGTTTTGAGGGCCTAATATATCTACTAAGGGAGCTATTGGAAAATATATCAACATTTTTCATATTACAGATATAGCATGCATTTTAGGGCTATGGGCTCACTTGTGAATAATGGATTAGATCAAGCACCACCAATCTTCATTTTCATCTTAAATCTTCATTTTTATCTTAGTCAAAGCCTTTGCTCAATTAATTGGGATCGGCTATACGAATCCTGGTCTGCCATTCTGCTTTATTAACAGTCATTCACTCAGTGAGGCCATAAGTCCCTGTGTCTTTTCTCACTATTTCTAACCATATCTTTTTAGACAAAGGAAAAATATAATGCTATTCCCTAACAACTAATCTATCCAAACGGAGCCTTATGTTTTACCAAGAGTTCCAAGGTGCTGTTACTAAACTTTAAGGCTTTGTTTAGCCTGCATCCATTTGGGAGTGAAAAATAGGTTAGGTTGCATGCTTACTATTTACCAATGACTTTTTCTGTGACCCAACCACCCCCAATTCTGAAAACTAAGAACACATTTTATCATTGTATTTCTAAATAACCACCTTGGCATAGTTGTTAGGCCATCCAAATGAGGATTGTGTTTACCACATTGTAATGAAATTATATTTCATGTTAACGTTTTTTTTCTCAAGTGCATTTATTTTTGGGATGGAAAATTATATTTCAAATCTGATGGCTTGGGGCTTTTTTTTTTTTTTTTTTGTATTTCATTTATTTTTGACTCATCCTTCTTGAAATCATTTCTTCTCTAAAGGCCATTTAAGATTAGTTGTACTTATTTCTTTTGATCCTATAGGTTCCCAAGCTAGAAAAAAAAATCAAATCCAATCTCTCAATTACATGAGTAGTAGTTGATCCCAGAGATTTATAACTATATGAATGAGATTTTTATAAAAAAAACTTTCTATGTCTCTCTATGTACATATGAATTACACATGTATGGGGACATGGGGCTTCTGATCTTAATCCTCCTCGATAAAAATTAGCATGTTGAAAACAACTCTAATGTTAATTTTGATTATTGTCATGGTTAGTGTAAGATTTGTTATTATACTTGTTTGTTGTTTTCTTGATCTGCTTGTGTTTAACCTAGAAAGAAAATATTTGGAATAGAGTGAAATGGGTACTTCAAAATTTGAAAAGTACGAACAAGTATGGCCAAGTCTATGAACATAAATAAGGCTTTATGAGAACAACTTACGCTAATGATCTCGATGATCAGAGATCAAGCATCAATTGTACTTCTAGGTGTGTTGAAAATGATCAATCTAAAGCATGTGTAAAGGTAAGGTGACCTTAAGAACTCAAGGATGAGAGTGTAGAAGGTAGAGTTTACACAAAAATAATAAGCACGAAGAAAGTTGTGCAAGGCATGTTCATGGAGGTCATTTGGTTAGAGAGCTTAAGCCGATAGTTAAATTCTCTAGATTCAAGAGCAAAAGATTAAACATATACAATTGGCAAGGTAAGAGTATACTATTGTATCGAGGTGAAG